AAAAAAAGTAAAGATCGTCACCCTTGAGTATTGCATTATTTTAAAAAAATTATCTGTAAAGACCAAATGGAAATAGTGATAGAAAAACGGTGTTGATTAAGGGTAGAGTTGCACAGCCTATTATTATACTTGCTGTCAGGAAGTTGTACATCTGTAAAAAGTTTAATTGGCAAAAGTTGTGTGAAACATATATTCACAAAAAAAAAAAAAAAAAAAAGAGTAGGTACTGAGGTTGCTATGTACAAATACCTCATGGGATTTGGTTCCTTGGTTTAGATGTATAGGGTCTTGGTCTCATGGGACATCCCAGTTAACTGGTGAGACCAGCAATGGACAATGTGAATGCAGATTAAACAACCACGTGGGAGTGAGAGACTGAGAGAGGAAAAAAATGGCATTTTAAAGAAAGAAATGACAGAACTTAGTGACAAGATGGATGGAGAGGATGGATGTAGAAGGGAAGGATCGAAGGTAAGTTTGTGAACATTTGAGACAGGAAAAATTGACTGTCCTGCTCCTTAGAAATGGAAGTAGTGGGAAAAGTTTGATAGACGAGACTAAAACTGAATTACAGTGGGTTTAGAACAAAAAGCACTTATTCCAAGTGGGATGATGCCCTCTTAACAGGTCACAGTTGGCAACACTGAACCTAAAGTCATATTTATAGCAATAGTGCTTACAATCCATGAAAATTATTTAAAAGATAAGGCGGTCAAAGTTATCCAGTCCAGAAGAGATGGAGGACAAAGACTGGTAAGACAAGGGCACAGGACTTTGTGTTGTTACCAGTTTCAAAAGATTGGTGTACATTAGAGGTCAGAATGTAGGCAGGGGAATTATGATGGCTAAGAAAGAGGCAGCTTAACCATGTCCAATACACATGAAAACTCATTCATGCAGCAAGCATTAAGTGCTCACTTATATGCCAGACGCTATTCTAAGTTCAGCTATGAACAAAAGCACCTCTGCCCTCATACAGCTGATTTGCTACTAGGGGAGACATACAAAGAACAAGAAAGCAAATATAAAGTCTAGAGGCAGGCAGTGGTAAGTGCTCTAAGGGCTAGGGGAGAAAACCAAAAAAGCAGGATACAGAGAGAGAATAAATGGAGTGGGTAGGCATTTGAGATAATGTCATGTGGTAATCAACAAATGATCAACTGAACTCTAATTAGCAGGAGGTGACAAGATGAAAATCAGTGTTTTAAGCAATGAATGCCTTGGAGCATTCATTCAAATACTGGCTGCCTACCAGCCTAGAAGATGTTAACGAGAGAGCAGTAAAACATGTATATTTGAAGGTACAGTGAAAGCTGGAGAGCCAGAGCTCAATGGAACTACCTTGTTTGTCCACATCTCACAAGTTTTCCACTTTTGATAGGGTGCTGTCTCACCACTTTTCTCTCGCTCTCTACTAGTGGAAAACATTTGAGTTTTCCTTCTCTAACAGATGTTCACTTTAGATAGGTTTTGGCTTTCATAGGTTTTACTGTATTTGAGAACTAGTGCACATTGAGAGGAAAACTAATGGCATTAAAGACAGTGAAGAATTACCAAGGAGAAAGCAACGATCCCATGGAGGAAGATAAAACAACTTTACTACATGGATGAGCATTATCTTTGCAATCCCTTCCAATTTGAATATTCTCTCATTTTATTGGAAACATAGAGATGCCAGAGCAGTGATATGTTTAAGGAGAAGAGAAAGAAGCAGAAGAGGAAGATTTTTATAAGACTCTGTATGCATTTAAATTACTGTTTATTAAGCAGGACCTACTGGGTGCCAGGTTCCGCACTCACCAAAGTAAGCAAAAACCTGAAGGCACCTCCAGAAGTTAAAGTGGGAACATCTCTGTCAATGTTAACGTTAACACAGACCCCAAAGGGACCAATGGTGTGTGTGCGAGGAGAGGTTGTTGTTGTCGTTATTTGCCGTTGAGTGGGACCCGACTCATAGCGACCCCTCCTTGGGTTTCTGAGGCAGTATCACTACAGAAGTAGATTGCCCAACCTTCCTTCCGAGGAGTGGCTGGTGGGTTTGAACCACCAGCCTTCTGGTTAGCAGTCAAGTGCCTTAGGCACTACGCTACCAGAGCTTCTGAGGAAGAGGTAGTGGGTCGGAAAAGGACGATGGTGAGACTATGATGCTGGAGCCAGGCTAAAGATCAGAGTTCTGGAGCTTTCTCTGCTGAATAGGAGTGTTGAGAGCCTGCCACGAGGGTGAACCACAGCTGAGGACTGGTGGTGCAGGTTCAGCAAAAGGTCAGAGTTAGAATAAGGCAAGTAAGCATCAGATTCACAGCTGATGAGAAGTTTGATAACTGTGGTGCCCTCTCCACCCCACACTTACCACATCTGTAATAGTCATGTCTCCCCCACAAAACTGTGAGTAGCTCACAGGAATCAGTACCTTCTTTAATCCCTATATTCTCAGTAACTAGCAAATAATGGAAGCTCAGTAAATATTTGACCGATTGAGGCCAAGTTTTAATAACATGAGTAAAATAGAAGAGGCTGAAAAATTAAAGGTTTGATGAGTGTGAAAAGCGGAATAGGCCAGATTCCTCCTGCTAGTTGTCCAAAGCTGGTGACCCTGCCTCTTACCAGCTGGAAGGTCCTGAGAAAGGCACTTCAGTTCTGAATCTCAATTTCTTCATTTGTACAATGAGGGGGTTGGAGCAAATCAGAGGTTGCAGACTTTTAGTAGACAGGAGGTGCTTTACATTATATTGAGGCCTAGAAAGCGTGTGTATCTTTGCTGTTTGAGTAGGGGGTGCCTACCCTTTGGTTGTAATTCCAAACAATTACAGAGAGAAGATACAGTTTGTCAGCAAACTGATCTGCTAGTGAAGTGATAGGTAAGGAGTCGGGGGGTGGGGCATGGGCAGGAGTGAACAGTGCTAAGGAGTTATACAGATCTCAAAGGTGAAACTACACATCGCCCAAGGAAAAATTTAACTGTGAATGGAACAAGTCTTTGTGCTTTCAAGGTGGTTGTTCTAGTCAGTTGTGTACACACTCATGCACCCATACACAGAATAAGTCAGAGAGAGAAACAGACTTCGAACAGCCTAAAAACCATATAACAATTTAAGAGCTGTTAGACCAATAATTACCCATAGAGACAAGATTACCTCTAGCCTCTGAAAAAACATGTTTACTTACCATATTTACAGAGTGCTATCAGACTATATTTTGAGCTTCTGAGAAGTTTTTATTTAGTATCAGTCAAAATACCTAGCACTATGAAAACCCATAATTTCCCATACCAACTGCATTCCCCAAAATTACAGGAAAATCCACAAACTTTGCAGAAGGGAGTGAAAGCTAACCTCATCAAAGGAAATTTTCCAGTTCTATAAAAGAAAACAAATAAACAAAAACACCACACAGTGCACTGCAGCATTTCTAGTTGAATACTTTTCATTCACTTTTTAAAACTTCATTCCGAAAAGTATAGTATTACATATTCTATACTTCTGGTAACAGCAATACCTAAAGATTACAGAACCAAGTCAAACTTAACAGAACTAAAGGACAAAGCCATGTGTTTGAAAATGCCTGCAAAATAATAAACGCCTGAGGGAAGAATTGGATGTTTGTTGTTGTTGTTGTTGTTGTTGTTGTTGTTTGCTTCCAAGTTAAATAAAGGGGGAAGGGGAAATTTGCAAAGACCCCAGTTAGGAATAATTTTCATGAATACACATAGCAAACCATCCAATCGATTCCACAAGAAACAGGTAAAGTTAATCCAAGACCACCACTTCAAAAGGTAAGAAAAACACAAAGTTTTGATTTTTAAAACACTCTGTCAGCGCTAGAGACCCTCTCAGGTCATTACGAGAAGCAAGGGCATTTGACTAGTCAGTGTTCCTGTGACAATGGCTAGACTTCTGTGTAAACTAAAGCTCAAGGAAGGAATTTGAGTTCGACTCTCAGGCCTTTCGCCCTCCCCCGGGCTCCTGCAGTCTCCCTACTTCCTGCACACCTTTGGATTACTGTACACTGACTTCCTGCACACCCTAGATTTGGGGTGCCTCCCTCCTAAGGTTTAGGAACTCTACTTAAACTAATTTCCCCGAGACGAGCTCGCAGGTTAAAAGTTCGCAGTCCCCGACCCTCCATGAAAGCATAATCAGCATGTGTAGCTTGGCAAGTTTGACGGCAGCGGAGAGATTAATTTACGTAAACAAGTCTGAAGAGGTAACGCATCACTGCAAGGACAGAAGTCAGCAGTCTGAATACTGCCGTTCCGGGAAAGGCGGCTGCCAGGCTCACCCACCCGGCAGTCTCGGCTGGCGGCGCTTTCCACGCAACAGGTCCACGCAGGCAGGGCCTCGGAAACCGGCATCTGGGCACCTGATCACAGCTTCCTAGGCCCAGACCTCCTCCATACCCCTCCACCTCGCGGGCGCTCCACGGGCCAAGGAAGGCCTGCCTATTTCCAGTTCTTCCAAGCACCGACCGACTTCGATAGGCCCAGAGATTCCTGGGAAGATGCCTGAGATAGTGCGGCTCCCATGCGCGCTGCCCACCTTGGACAAAGGGGAGACGCACTCCGGCCAGCGGTCGAGGATCGCTGATCAGGGGAACTGCTCCAGGTGCGAGATGCCACGCTTGGTCCCTCCAGCCAGAGCTACCTGGCTCCTCACTTGCTCAGGCACAACTGCCAGGTGTTAGGACGAAGTACCTTGACGTGTATCTAAACTACTGCTCAATCCAGAACATTTCTCCAAATACACAGGCTCTCTTTCTGTTTGGAAAACACCAAGTCGCTTGTATAAAATGAAAAGAAACTTTTAAAGCGGCCGGGGTGGGGTGGGAGGTTGGTAAGGCAAGGGGAGAAAGCAGGTGAATCAGGAGGGGGCGGTTCCTGCAGGGCACCCGGAGTCCATGGCTGGGACAGAGATCGAGGAGAGGGAGAAAAGGGAAGGGGTGCAGCTGGCCGGGTCCGACCTCGCTTCCTGGAAGGCTGCACACAGGTAAGGCCGGACACTCACCTCCGGCAGCTCGCGGAGCTGGTTGGCGTCCAGCAGCAGCTCTTCTAGGCTGCGGGCGTAGCGGTAGATCTCCTCTGGGACGTACACCAGCGAACAGTGGCGCTTGTCGATACTCTCCACATGACGGTTGCACCGCCACAGGGGGATGCAGTGGAACATCGCCGTCCCGCCGCCGCTGGAGCCGGGTCCCGAGCTTCGGAGACCCGGGCTCCGAAGCCCGCTCCGCCCGACGGCTTCGCTCTGCCCGCAGCCCGCTCCGCGCTCGTTGGCTTCTCGCCTCGCTCGCTGCTCGCGCTAGGCTGCGCGGTCCAAAACGCTCCCAGGAACCTCGGGCGGGAGTCCCAGGCAAACCTCAGCGCCCCCACCCGCCAACAGTCCGTCCCCTCCCACTCTGCAGTCCCAGCCACCGACGCTGCTATTGCTGCAGCCGCGCGGTGCTTCCTACTAGCCGCAGGCGCGCTCACCGAGCATGCGCAGCTGTGAGCGCGCGCCGAAGGCGTTTCCCAGCATGGGGGATGCTCCGCTCCGGGTTTTCCTGGCAACCTCGATCCCGAGAGGGTCGGGAAAGTCGCGGGCCGGGCGCTTGCCATCCCCTACTCCGGCTGGTACCCCAGGAGCCTCGGGCCCTCTGGGGAAGCTAAATTCTAGAGGAGCCAGGGGCACAGGCGCAAAGATGAGTCGGGGGAGGGGCGGTCGGAGGGGATCCGAACAACTTTGACTTTTATTTTCACTCCATTTCGCTCTCCTCTCCTAGCTCCCCCTCCCCAAAACAACTTTCTCTTCCGGGGTCAGGCAGGACCGCCCCGAAGCGTACCTTGCGCGCTACGGGATTTGGTGTGGTGGTGAGGTTTTTGCAGTGCGCTTGCGGCTACTCCCGGGCCACTGGTGCGCGCTGGCTGCCCACAACAGTATCAGAACTGTGAGCCCGGAGACCTCACCCGGCAGGGCGCCCCAGCCCTTGCCCCGCTTTCTGGACGGAGGCACCACCTGTAGGCTTTGTAAGCTAGAAGCGTATCTTCAGTCATCATTGTATGTATGCACGGTAATTAACCCTCCTCTCCAAACCACCGAAAGCGTTCGAGTCTGTGTCTGCGAGATTCTCAGATGTGAGTGGATCCAGGCAGGAGCCCAAATGCAGAAACTGGAGCAGGCAACGGTGAGCTTCTGAGCCGGTGCCAGGCCGGCCAGATGTTGGTCCTTGGCGACGAGCCGGGGCTGGGGCAGAGGGAGGAGCGGGGGATGTAAAGAAGGTCGCAAGGGTGCGGCCAGGTGTGCACCGTACATCCCACCCTTGAGGTTCTCCATCACCACCGCGACCCTGCAAAGGGTACACTGCAGCCCAATGAGTAGCCGACTAGGACTCGAGAGGCTCACTATTTAGTAATAAGGACCATTCCTTTGCTATCTCACCACCACCACGCCTGACGCCTTCTACTGACCACAACCAGGACTCTCAACTGCCCCCTCTTCTCCCATAAGCGCTTGCACCACGCTCTTCAAGTCCGAGTAACAAAACGCTACTTCACAAGAGGAAGCCGACCAGGTCAAGGCCAATCACGTTATAGGGTTGTTTTCTTGGGGTTTCCTGACTCCCCAGCCCCTAATCTCTTTGAACTCCCCCTTTCAACTGTGCTCAAATTCCTGATTCCACCTGTGGACTCTGCCACAACACCACGGATTTCCCACCCCCACTCCCGCCCCTCAGCTGCCATAGCTAAAATCTGGAGTTACGGAGCCCATATTTCTGCCAAAGATTGAAAGCTGAGCATGCTCAGTGACCGAGACAAATTATGATCTGACACTAGTTTTTGCATTGCCTCCGTAGATCCACGGCTGCGAGACCTTCGCAGCATAGCGGGGTTTCGTAGGGGAAGAAGAGACCGCCAAGGGTTAGAGCCTAACGCGGCCTCAAACTCCTCCTCAGTTCCAGCCGTAGAGTGGACAGATGGGTTTCACGGGGAGGGGTGGGAAGGAGACGCTGCATTTCAATTCTACTGAAGAGGGTTCCGTTCTTCTCTGTAAATAAGAAGGGACCACTAGGGCATCCTTTTCTAGCCCAATTTGATCAACTCATTCCAGTAAATATCTAAACTCCTGTTGCTGCACCTACTCCACCCTCTCCTTTCTTTGTCCTGATTTGAGTTCTACATTCTCGCAAAAGGCTGTCTGGACTTTCAACTTTAGCCTTGCTTTCTTCGTTTTACATTCCACGTATAAAGCCCATTTTGTGCCACCCTTAGTAGAAAACTATTGGGTGATGTCTGGAACTTGGAGTAAATTACTGTCTTTGGATGTTTTCCAAATGCTTTTTTAAAATAAAAATAAAGAAAGCCAGGCTTTCTCAATTTAATCTTGTGTTGACTTCCAGAGATGTTTGTTGTTGTTGTTGTTAGGTGCCGTCAAGTTCTCTCTGACTCATAGCCACCCTATGTACAGCAGAACGAAACACTACCTGGTCCTGTGCCAGTCTCACTATCCTTGTTATACCTAAGCCCACCGTTGCAGCAATTGTGTCAGTCCATCTCATTGAGGGCTTTCCACTTTTTCCTTGACCCTCCACTTTACCAAGCATGATATCCTTCTCCAGGGAAAGGTTCCTTCTGACCAAAGTGGATGAGACGAAGTCTGGCCATTCTAGCTTCCAAGGAGCATTCCGGCTGCACTTCTTCCAGGACAGATTTGTTAGTCCTTTTAGCAGTCCATGGTACTCTTAGCATTCTCTAATACCACAACTCAAAAGCATCAACTTCTTCGGTCTTCCTTATTCACTGTCCAGCTCTCACATGCATAAGAAGCAATTGTAAATACCATGGCTTGGTATTATCTATAGATTATCTATGTTGTTGTTATGTGTCCTCACGTTGGACCTGACTGATAGCGACCCCTCCTTGGGTTTCCGAGGCAGTATCACTACGGAAGTAGATTGCCCCATCTTCCTTCCGAGGAGTGGCTGGTGGGTTTGAACCACCAGCCTTCTGGTTAGCAGTCAAGTGCCTTAGGCACTATGCATTATTTTTAAACCAAACCCACTGCCATGGAGTCAATTTAGCGACCCCCATTCCACTTCCGTAGAGATACTGCCTCAGAAACCCAAGGAGGGGTCGCAATGAGTCAGAAATGACTCAATGGCAGTTTGTTTGTTTGTTTGCTTGTTTGTTTTGGTATTGGGTTTCCAAGGCTATAAATCTTTAGGGAAGTAGATGCTTCATCTTTCTCCTGTGGAGCAGCTAGTTGGTTTGAACCACTGACCTTCTGGTTAGTAGCCAAATGTCTTACCGACTACACCACCAGGACTTCTTACTAGATCATTTTAGTAAACACCAAATGTGTTTTAAAGAAGTGGCTACCTTTTTAAAACTTCAGAGCTCAGTAAGCACTTGATGTGTGCTTCTAAATGTGCCTCTCCATGGTTCTTACACTTCCCTATGTTATGATTATTTTTGTATGATCTTATGACCAAAAGACAACAGATACTGTCACACTTGTTTTGTAGATCCTGGTGGTTTCCACAGTGCCACATACACACTTAAATGATCAATGCATTTTTGTTACATTGACTCTATCTCCCATCAGTAGCAGAATTCTTGACTTTCATTGTTTCAAAGGATTGGCCAAGAATCAAAAACATTAGTCTAGTAAAAGGAGGAAAAAAATTTTAAAAGTAACACATTTTTAACTATAGAATAGAGGCTAGTTTGCTTTTTATCTTCCTGAAGAATTATTAGGGTTTCCTGTTTACATAGTTTCTAGTTTATTTCCCCATATTACAAATGATCTTGACTCAATGTAAAGAAAGTTAAAGAGACAATCTAAATCATCTTCTTTTTGGGGGAGTGTAATTCTTTCAATTACTTTTAATGTGAACCATTTTTAATAGCTTTTGGAACTAAGGAGAGCTGGTTTTGAACTCTGGCTCTGCCACCTAACAACTCTGTAGCATTGGACAGGTTACTTAACTTTTATGAGTCCTAGTTTTATAATCTTTAAAATAGGTACAATGACACATGGGATGTGATGGAATTAAATATATAATGTACATGAAATGCTTAGCAAAATGGTAAGCAAACATCAGTTCGATCAACTCAGTTCAGTCTCTGCTACTTGGTTGGTATCTGTGACTAATAAACTAAGGCAGAAGTGATTGTATGTTACTTCCAATATTAGGTTATAAAAGAAATTATGATTTCTGTCTTTGTCTCTTGCTTTGGGGAAGCCAGCTGCCATGTTCAACAATATGAGTAGTAACCTTGGAAACTGATCCGCCAGCCCCAGGCAGACCTTCAGATGACTGCAGCATCAGCTGACAACTTCACTGCAATGTCATGATAAACCCTGACCCACAACTACTCAGTTAAGCTGCTCCCAGATTCCTGACCTTCAGAAACTGTGTAAGATTATAAATATCTGTTATTTTAAGCTACTAAAAATTTGAGGTAATTTGTTACACATAGATGACTAATAAATGTACATACTATATACCAGACATTGTGCTAGATAATGGAGATACAAAAAAGAACCATCTTTCCCTCATAAAAGGATTCATCTTTCCCTCATAAAGCTTATATTCTAATGTTAGGAGAATGATAAACACTCAATTAATAGTTTGCTGTTATTGTATGATTTGAATATGATGGTATCAATGATTTTATTTTTTTAAGTGAAAGTCCAGAGTAGTAGTTAGTAAGATGTGGCAAAATGGGGATTCATAGTTTGGGCATATAAATTTTAAAATGAGATACTACCATCTACTCAATAAAATGACTAACAATAAAAAGACTGGCAAGTACAAATGTTACTGAAAATACGAAACAACTGAAATTCATGCATTGCTGATGGAAGAATAGATGGTACAATCACTTTAGAAAACAGTTTGGAAGTTTCTTGTAAACAAACACCTACCCTAATCATCAAGCCTTTCTCCCCTACATATTTACACAAGAAAAATGAAAATGTATGTCCACACAAAGACTTGTTCAGAAATGTTCATATTAGTTTTACTTATACTAGCCAAAAATTGGAAATAATCCAAGTATCTATCAACAGGGAAATGGATAAAGTAACAACAGAATACCACACAACAATAAAAAGGAACTAACTAATGATACATGTAACAATGTGGATGAAACTCAAAAACATAATGCTAAGCAAAGGAAGCCAGATACAAAAGTTGTCTCCATACCATACAATTCCATGTATTGAAAATCCTAATTTGTTAGGATTCAAACTAATAAAAAGTGACATAACTCAGATCACTGATATTCTGCAGCCAGAGGAAAGGGGAGATGGGGACGGGGAATGTGAGGGAGGATTGGTTAAAAAGGGAGGAGGAAACTCTTTGGGTTGATGGAAATGTTCTAGATCTTGAGTGTGATAGCAGTTATTTCTTGGTCAAAAATATCAAACTGTACACTTAAAGTACAAGCATTTTATTATACAAAATTT